GTCTCTACTTGCTATTTGTAAGATCAGAACTCTCTCTTGTCAATATAGTGCCATTTTAGATCAGAATATGAATTTTCATAAACAGAGTCTCAGTTTTCTGATTTTCATAGGAGAGTTTAAGTGTAGCTAAAGGAATAAGAAAACAAGTAAATGATGCATCTCCTTCCACATTTAGCAGTCTCTACTTCTTAGTTATAAGCTCAGAACTCCCTCTTGTCAACATAGTGCCATTTTTTTTATCCGAATCTGACTTTTCTTAGACAGAGTCCCAGTTTTCTGATTTTTATAAGAGAGTTTTAGTGTAGCTAAAGGAATAAGAAAACAAGTAAATTGATGCATCTCCTTTCACATTTAGGAGTCTCTACTTCTTATTTGTAAGCTCATAACTCCCTCTTGTCAATATAGTACCATTTTGGATTAGAATATGACTTTTCTTAAACAGAGTCACAGTTTTCTGATTTTCGTAGGAGAGTTTTGGTGTAGCTAAAGGAATAAGAAAACAAGTAAATGATGCATCTCCTTCCATATTTAGGAGTCTCTACTTGCTATTTGTAAGATCAGAACTCTCTCTTGTCAATATAGTGCCATTTTAGATCAGAATATGAATTTTCATAAACAGAGTCTCAGTTTTCTGATTTTCATAGGAGAGTTTAAGTGTAGCTAAAGGAATAAGAAAAAAAGTAAATGATGCATCTCCTTCCACATTTAACAGTCTCTACTTCTTAGTTGTAAGCTCAGAACTCCCTCTTGTCAACATAGTGCCATTTTTTTTATCCGAATCTGACTTTTCTTAGACAGAGTCCCAGTTTTCTGATTTTTATAGGAGAGTTTTAGTGTACCTAAAGGAATAAGAAAACAAGTAAATTGATGCATCTCCTTCTATATTTAGGAGTTTGTACTTCCTATTTGTAAGATCAGAACTCCCTCTTGTCAATATAGTTCCACTTTGGATCAGAATATGAATTTTCTTAAACAGAGTCTCAGTTTTCTGATTTTCATAGGAGAGTTTAAGTGTAGCTAAAGGAATAAGAAAACAAGTAAATGATGCATCTCCTTCCACATTTAGCAGTCTCTACTTCTTAGTTGTAAGCTCAGAACTCCCTCTTGTCAACATAGTGCCATTTTTTTAATCCGAATCTGACTTTTCTTAGACAGAGTCCCAGTTTTCTTATTTTTATAGGAGAGTTTTAGTGTAGCTAAAGGAATAAGAAAACAAGTAAATTGATGCATCTCCTTCCACATTTAGGAGTCTCTACTTCTTGTTGATCTAATTGATGTATTTGTTTCCAAAAGACAAAGGAAAAGGACCCATAAAGTCGATTCTCCAAAAATCAAAAACTTCGACTTCTTGAATGAAGTTTTGTGGCATCTCATTTCGTTTGCTGATGTTCCCTTGTCCTTGGCAAGCATCACACTTAGATATGAATTTATGGGCGTCCTTGAACATGGTAGGCCACCAATAACCAGCTTGTAAAACCTTTGCTACAGTCTTATCATAGCAAAGTGTTCAGCATAGTTAGATCTGTGACAATGAAAAAGGATTTCTGGAACTTTTTTTTCAAAGATACACCTGCGAAACAAGTTATCTGCACACTGCTTATAAAGATATGGTTCATCCCAAAAGTACCTACTTATATCACGCGAGAACTTCTTTTTGTTGTAGCTGAAGAATCGTGGCGGTTCGACCTCTGCTGCAAGGTAATTTGCGATATGCATAAACCAAGGAAGCTCAGAAGGTTTTGCTTTTGGAGGTGGGGTTGGACATTTCTCTGGGGTGACTACTTTAGAATTACCATCTTTCTCCACGTCTCCAATAGGGTTTTGAGAAGTCAATGTCGAGTTTGCATCAGGTGAGATAGTCTTGCCCTTAGATTTCTTTGATTTGCGCTTAGATTTTCTCGCCTTGTGCTTCGATTTTCTCGATTCGACAACTCCCTTAGGTTCGACTGAAAGGGCTTGTATAGAAACGTGTTGGCACCTTTCCTTGTTATCTTCGGGGTCTAAAATCAACTTCTATTCCTTGTAGATGGTTATACAGTAAGAGCTTCCACCACTACAGACTGCGGGATAGAAGATTCTCCTTTTGACTTTAGAAAAACAAACTCTTCGGTTGGGATAATCAACAACTGCCCCCACTGTTGCAAGGAATGAACTTCCAAATATTAACGCTCTGGGAGAGTCATTTTCCATCTCAAGAATGTAAAAATAAACAGGGATAAGACACCCTCCTACTTGCACCATCAAATCCGTTATGAAACCATACGGAATCATGCTTGAATTGTCTCCAAACTTAACAGAACCGTGAGGAGGTTTGATATCACACATCCCCAGCTCGTTTGCAATTGCTTTAGACATGACATTCAGATTTGCTCCTGTGTCACATAGAGAGTCAGAAAATTCCATACCTTCAATTATGAAGGGGAAGACAAACTTCACCGAATCGTTTATCTTATGAAGCTTCATTTGGTGTGGAACTTTGCCTATTGCATCATACTCTTCTAGACATGCTGAAGATTCAAATTCAGTGTCCTGATTGCTAGGAATAGGCGTGACTTCTCTCTCACCATCAGTGTTTATGACATTGCAATGGCACATTGGATTATCTACGGTTTTCCCGGAAGGTGACCATCTTGTCTCTTCTCACTTTCTCCAATTTGTTCGATTTGTTTCTCCAGCATCTTTACATGAGTTGAGAGGTTAGTGAACTTCTGAAATGACTCCTCATTGTTGTTGTTGAGGTGATCATTCATGATGTCTAACTTGTACCCAAGATCACTCATGTTGTCTAACTTAAGCTCAAGGTTACGGATGTCTTGGGCGATTTCTTCATGTACCTCAGCGATTCGTCTCTCCATAGCTTCGGTGCTTTTTGAACTATCTATGATTTGCGATAGCTGCACGTCCATGCTATCAACATGAGTGGAAATAGCTTCAAATTTACCATTAAGGTCAGTGTATAAGCAGTCCACTCTTATATCCACATCGTCTGCTAATCTTTGCAGCTTCGTAAGAAGTGGTTGCACCATAAGCTGGATCTTGTTGTCTTGAGAGGTTGGGGATGATTTTGGAGCAGATTGGAGATTCATATGGGTGTGATATTGTGCTCCAAGTTGATGATTAATCTCAGCTGCATTAACTGCTTCGCAGACTTTAACAGAACGCTGCTGATTTTGGAGAAACAATTTCACCATGGCTTTAAGTTCTACAATCTCCTTATGATCAGGGGAGTAGAATGTGATGTTCTTCCTTGATCAGGACAATTGTTTCTGCTGCTTGCAGCAAGATTTTTAATCAAGATGTAAGCTTCTTCCACAGTCCTTGTCATGAAGTTTCCATCGCATACTACATTTAGAGGCGCCTAAGATGTCCATTCAAGACCTTCGTAGAAGGTATTCAAGACGCATGTCTCTGTAAAACCGTGGTGAGGACATTCTCTGATGTAGCCTTTATAACGGCCCCAAGCTTCATGAAAAGGTTTGCCTCCTTTTTGTTGGAACCTATAAATTTTGCCTCTAAAGAAGTTTGATCTAGAGGTGGTGTAGAAATGGTTAAGGAAGGCAGCCTTGCATTCGTCCCATGATTCGAGTGAACCAGGAGACAAAGACTTGAACCAAGCACGCGCCTTATCACAAAGAGAAAATGGAAACAATTTGCACTTTATGTAATCTGCAGGAACTCCGATGGATTGCTTGGTACTGCAGATTTCTTCAAAATCTTCGAGATGGTCCATAGGATTCTCCGATGCATCGCCTTGGAACCGGTTTTGCTTGACCATTTTTATGAGCTTCGGGCTAATCTCATAGTCTACGTTGATGGGTTGTAAACTAATGGGAGAACGTCTCATAGAAAGCATACGGAGTGTTATAATCTCTTAGAGTTAAGCGAGGAGCATTTGGAACCTAACGTGCTCATCAACGTTTTGCTGGACGTGGTGGTTATCTCTAAGCCTATCTAACCTGGCAAGTGTATATTGTTATCGCCCATCTCTAATTTGTGTGTGTGTGTGTTTTTTTTTTTTTTTTAATTAATTTTTTTATATATTTTTTATATTATATATATATAAATTATTTTTTTTTCGTTTTCGTTTTTTTTTTGTTTATATATATATATAATAATTTTTTAAATTTCTTTTTATGTTAATATATATATATATATAATTTTTTTTAATAAAAGAATAAATATATATTATTTTTTAGTTATATATATATAGATTAATATATATATATTTTTTAATATTAATTTATATATATGTATATATATAATTTTTTTCTCTTTTTTTTTCAAAAATGAACAAGAGAACGTACCTTAAACTCGATTCGGACCGGAAACTCGTAGGCAACGTTAAAGGTCTCCGGTTACGGGGGCAAAAACTTGATGTGCTCAGGTTTTAACCCTAGTTTTCTGCAAGTGCACAGATGTATGTTGTAGTACTTAGTGGTCGATCCACTGAAAACCAAGTAACTGCAATATGAGTTTACTTGAGATGAGAACTGAGCTAAGATGAAAATATGGGTGTTTGTTTGGGGGTTGTGAACAGTGACGAAAATAGCAAATAATAAACTTAAAAACAAGAAAACAATAAGATCAAATCAATACGAGAAGGTGTTGGGCGTTAGGGAATTCGCCGGAAATCATAGACTAGCTAACAAGAGAATAAAACATAGAGTTTCTATAGATGTGTTCCTGAAATCAAACCCAGACTAACCTACTCACGTAGTATTAATCACAAATCAATTCACTCAGATTTACTAAACTCCCATTCAGTTCTCTAAGTTTCTAGACAAATTAGTTTGATAATTTCACAAAACGCTTTAGATCGACTCACGCCGTCTAAGAGAAATTGTTTATCTAAATTGGGTTAATCGATTCAACAACACTTTCGGTGAGTAAATCAACCTAATCGCAGTAGCTAGATTATCGATCAAAGCCACATACACGAAACGCAGATTTAGATGAAGAACTCTAAAGATAAACCCTAATCTAACAAACCAGAAATTAATCCATGATTCCCTTTGAAAAATCCTTTAAAACCCAACAAGAGAATTACTCAATCATAGTGTATAAAAACATCACAGAAGTATTGTAGTTTGCTGGAAATTAGATATCAGAAAGGTAAAGAACGAAGAACGAGGATGAAGATGGAGATCGATGGTGACTCCTTCGGCAACTCCTTCTTCTCCCGAAGACGACAACTCCGAGGTGTGCGGCTCTCTTCTCTGCTCTCTCTCCACGACTTGGTCATTAGAATGACCTAAAACGAGTATATATAGCCTTCTAATTCGTTGGAAACATCTAGGGTTTGAAAAATGAGTAGTGGGCTGGACTTGGGCTTGAATTAGGTCACTTTCGGACGTCAACGTTGTCTGGCCGCGGTCGCGGTGGTCCTGACCGCGGGGAATCATGGTCTGGCCGCAGTCGCGGCCTATGCTCTCCTTCGAGACTGCATTTTCTGTCTTTAGTGCATCCGGAATATATCTGAAGATCTTCCTTTTCTTCTTGAATGTCTGCAAGATATGGCTTAAGACGTTGTCCATTGACAGTGAAATCACCTCCTTGGCGGTTCCATAAAACCACAGCACCATAAGGTAAAACTTCTTTGATCTTGAAAGGTCCAGACCATCGTGATTTAAGCTTTCCGGGAAACAAATTTAGACGTGAGTTATAAAGTAGAACCTGGTCATTAGGTGAGAACGTCTTATGAACTATTTTCCTGTCATAAAACTCCTTCGTCTTCTCCTTATAGATCTTAGAATTCTCATAGGCATTATGGCGAATCTCGTCTAACTCATTTGCCGTCTGGATATCGTAATTCAGCTTTTTTATTGCCCATTCTGCCCTGACCTCTAACTCCCATGGAAGATGACGAGCCTTACCATAAACAAGATGAAAAGGTGTAGCTCCCAATGGGGTTTTGAACGCAGTTCTATATGCCCAAAGAGCACCATCAAGCTTTGCTGACCAATCTTTTCTTGTTGGTCCTATTGTCTTTTCCAGAATTCTTTTGAGCTCTCTGTTTGATACCTCCACTTGGCCACTCGTCTGTGGGTGATAAGGTGTAGCTACCTTATTTTTCACTCCATTTTTCTTCAAGAGATTCTCAAATACTTTGTTGATGAATTGAGAACCACCATCACTGATGGCGAGTCGCGGAACATCAAATCTTGGAAATATGATCTACTTGAACATCTTCATTACTAATTTTGCGTCTTTTTTGGGGCTGGCTATGGCTTCTACCCACTTAGACACGTAGTCAACTGCAACAAGGATGTATTTGTTTCCAAAAGACGAAGGAAAAGGACCCATAAAGTCGATTCTCCAAAAATCAAAAACTTCGACTTCTTGAATGAAGTTTTGTGGCATCTCATTTCGTTTGCTGATGTTCCCTTGTCCTTGGCAAGCATCACACTTAGATATGAATTTATGGGCGTCCTTGAACATGGTAGGCCACCAATAACCAGCTTGTAAAACCTTTGCTACAGTCTTATCAGTAGCAAAGTGTTCAGCATAGTTAGATCCGTGACAATGAAAAAGGATTTCTGGAACTTCTTCTTCAAAGATGCACCTGCGAAACAAGTTATCTGCACACTGCTTATAAAGATATGGTTCATCCCAAAAGTATCTTCTTATATCACGCGAGAACTTCTTTTTGTTGTAGCCGAAGAATCGTGGCGGTTCGACCTCTGCTGCACGGTAATTTGCGATATGCATGAACCAAGGAAGCTCAGAAGGTTTTTCTTTTGGAGGTGGGGTTGGACGTTTCTCTGGGGTGACTAATTTAGAAATAACATATTTCTCCACGTCTCCAATAGGGTTTTGAGAAGTCAATGTCGAGCTTGCATCAGGTGAGATAGTTTTGCCCTTAGATTTATTTGATTTGCGCTTAGATTTTCTCGCCTTGTGCTTCGATTTTCTCGATTCGACAACTCCCTTAGGCTCGACTGAAAGGGTACAGAAACGTGTCGGCACCTTTCCTTGTTATATTCGGGGTCTAAAATCAACTTCTCTTCCTTGTAGATGGTTATACAGTAAGAGCTTCCACCACTACAGACTGCGGGATAGAAGATTCTCTTTTTGACTTTAGAAAAACAAACTCTTTGGTTGGGATAATCAACAACTGCCCCCACTGTTACAAGGAATGAACTTCCAAATATTAACGCCCTGGGAGAGTCATTTTCCATCTCAAGAATGTAAAAATAAACAGGGACAAGACACTTCCTACTTGCACCATCAAATCCGTTATGAAACCATACGGAATCATGCTTGAATTGTCTCCAAACTTAACAGAATCGTGAGGAGGTTTGATATCACACATCCCCAGCTCGTTTCAATTGCTTTAGACATGACATTCACATTTGCTCCTGTGTCACATAGAGAGTCAGAAAATTCCATACCTTCAGTTATGAAGGGGAAGACAAACTTCACGGAATCGTTTATCTTATGAAGCTTCATTTGGTGTGGAACTTTGCCTATTGCATCATACTCTTCTAGACATGCTGAAGATTCAACTTCAGTGTCCTGATTGCTAGGAATAGGCGTGACTTCTCTCTCACCATCAGTGTTTATGACATTGCAATGGCACGTTGGATTATCTACGG